GACGACAACAGCGCACCCGTGCAGGTCAAGCGACGTCGTAGCCTGGCGAGGTCTGAAGTCACCGCAGAGGACGTCGATTCCCCCAAGACGGTTCGTTTTGACGCCCGACCCGCCCGAAAAGACGCCACCTTCTGTTTGATTGAATGTAACCGTGCGCTTATATTTTTATATTTCGCCGTCGTCTTCAGGCTTGCATGCAACTACAGAGGTCCAAGTCCTTCTGTCAGGCGGACATTGACAAAGTTCTCGACCGGAACGACGGCGCCGCCGAACTCATCGGAGACTTTAGCAAAGTGAGCAACTCCCAACTGGGCCAAAACCCGATCGTGGGCCCACAACATTTGACGCCACTTTTTTTTTTTTTTTTTTTTTTTTGCTTTTTAGCCCTACGCTTTGCCAACGGTGGAGGGAAAACATCAGGACCTCAAGTACGTCACAGGAGAAACGGTAAGCTGCACAGTCTCAAACGGGACCGAGCACACCAAAAGATGAGCTGTTGCTGAAAGCCATCACGCGCTCATGGCAGCAATCTGCGACTGGACAGTACGTTTACCTTTGATTTGTAAACCGCGGGCCATTCAGACCGCAAACTAGTCGGGCCTGAATTTAAACGGCCCCCCTGAGTGAAATTTGAAATGTCCAGTTGCTTTCCAGCACATCTCCGCTCGTTGTCCACGGCAACTGACAGCCGTCCATGTTCACTTCGACTTGATTTGGCGGCCGGCTACTCAAGTTGCGTTGACGTCCTTTTGCGAGTGACAAGATCCCTGCGGCAAACGCTTCCTTTTTGGTGTTGGGCAGGTGGTGGCGGCGATGAAGGGCGAGTTCGGTCACCTGGTGGAGCGACTCATCATCATCGACTGCCGCTACCCTTACGAGTACGACGGCGGGCACATCAAGGTGAGCGCAGCGCCACAGATCAGTTGGGGGGGTCGGCAAGGGGGATGAAACGAAACAAATAGATATGTATATACTGTGAGAATATTGAATATAATATGAAAATGGATCGCCATGAATTTATTTGAGAGTAAGAGGTTTCTACTTAATAAGCCGCCATTTTACGAAAATTGAAACGTGCACAAAACAATGAACTCATCAGTGTAAAAAATGAACATGAAGTTGTTTTTCATGAAACCGTTCATAGGATTTTTTTTTTTAACCTTTCTTTTATGCTCCGCTGAAGTATTTTAACAAACTGATAATCGTCATTATTATTATTATTATAAAAATGTCATTCGTCAAAATTAATTTCATTTGAAATGAATCATTGACGCAATATGAAACACTTCATTGTACAGTATTTGTGTGGGAAAAAAAATATTCACAAACAAATGCATGTCATCTCTTTTATAAAAGCACATCCATTAATTTCTCAGACATATATTGTAAATAATTCATGAATCGGTAATGCAACAAATGTGTGAAAGTGTTGATTTGTTCGCTCTCGAACCAATTCTCGCAAAAAACTTCTCAATGAATATCTTGTTTACTTTCATGTTTTGCTCATTTATTGCATAAAATTAACTTTTTTTGTATTATAGAAGTCAAAACAGTCAAATGATATGTGTTTTTCGAATAAATGGCCAAAATATTGGTATTTATTGCATTGATTTATTTAAAATTTTCCACCCTAATAGTTCGATAACTGAAATTTATTTATCTACGTACAATATATATATATCCTTTTTTTTTTTTTTTTTTTTTTTAAATGTGTCTGTCAGGGTGCCCTGAATCTCTACCTGGAGGACGAGGTTGAGGACTTCCTGCTGCGGACATCGCCGCCGGTGGCCGCGGCGTGCCCAGACAAGCGCGTGGTCGTGCTGTTCCACTGCGAGTTCTCGTCGGAGCGCGGGCCGCGCATGTGCCGCTTCGTGCGCGAGCGCGACCGCGCCATGAACGACTACCCCAAGCTCCACTACCCTGAGCTCTACGTGCTCAAGGGAGGCTACAAGGAGTTCTTCCCTCTCTTCCAGGTACGCCAAAAAACATTCCCCCCAAGAAAAATTTAAAAAATACAAAAAAACAAAAAAAAAAACAGATCGGTGTTTGTTTAACTTTACAAGAGAGAAAGTTCTGGCAATTTGTCAACGATTGTTAGTTGCAGCCCTAAAACAGATCAATGCAGGGTGTCTCCACCCCCCCCTTTATTTGGGGGGGGGGGATACCATACCGCGATGGTAAGAAACCAAAAAGTGGTACAAATTTTTTATTTTGGTACTTTTGACGATGAGGTGTGAAACAAAATTCATGTCTTGGCGTTTTTGTACCATCCTCCGATAAAAGAAGGGTGTCAAAAGCTGCTCAAGATCCATTCGTTTTTGATTTCTTTTGCCAAAAATGGAACTCAAAAACCAAATTCGGATGCTTTACTGTGCTTCAGAAAAATTGGTTAATTTTTGCAGCTCTTGCAAAGAGGCGCCAATGGAATGACTTGAATAATTTCATGACCTGGGCTCCCCAAAATGACCCGTGTCCCCCCCCCTCCCTCCGGTCCGGCGCAGGTGCAATGCGAGCCCGAGTCGTATCGCGCCATGATGGACGAGGACTTCCGCGAGGACCTGAGGAACTGTCGCCTGAAGAGTCGCTCGTGGGCCGGCGAGCGCAGCAAGCGGAGCATGTACAGCCGCCTCAAGAAGCTCTGAGCGCCGCCCCCCCCACCTCACTCCACCACAGCCCACGGCCCCTTGAATCAGGCAGCTTTTAGTTCAAGAGCCACCTTTGCCAACCACTTTCGGCCGAGTTTCTGCCATCACTGCCAATGTTCACTTTAAAAAAAAAAGTCGCAGTACTTAAAAACGCCTTCATGGTGAGACTCGATTTTTCTCTTTTTTTTTTTTTTTCGTGTGTGTGTGTGTGTGTGTCCCCCCCTCCCCCCCACTCTCCACACTGCCTATGCGTTTTGACAAACTGAGTTCCCCGTCGACCATGTGAACCACATCTACGTTGTCATTGTTCTTTTTTTTAATGATCCTCTACCTGTTCTCACGGTGCCAAAGACACCAAAGAAGAGTTGACAGTGAGATTGTTGTCCTGCAGGACCACAAAAACATGTGAAAGAGAGCGTGAGCGATTTGCGTGTGTGGTTGTTGTTGCCCAAATGTGCGTTTTTTTTGCTGAGCGAGCGCCGCCAGTTTTGGCGCGCAGCTCCCGGGAGAGCCGCCCATTAAAAATCAGTGCGAGTGCCGACTCCTGAGTTGTGTTGCCTCTTTGTTTTTTAAGCTACTTGTGTTGGACTGCTGGAGTACCCCAAACTCTGCAGCCTGGGGATTTAAAAAAAAAAAAAAAAGGAAAAAATGACACCATGATAAATCATGTCACAAAATGTTCTGGCATTGTAACTAACAGCTTCAAACACTTGAAAATCTAAGTGCACGCAGGCAAATATAATGCACCAAATGCAAAAATCGAAGCTAAAAATGGCTGAACTTCCATTTTCCATGGTAGGTAGTCCTGACATTGAAACAAAAATTTAAATCAATTAAAATTTCAGCATTCCCCCGGTTGTAGATATCAACCTGAAGTCAGCTTTTTTTTTTTCTGGGCGCATATACGTCCAGGCCGTTGCCCTTTCCACGTGAGATCTTTTGTCCTCGTGCACCAGCGGCGGCGTTACAAACATTCTTCTCAGAGGAGTGTTTGACATAATTCCGCTTTCTATTCCATGACTCAGACGCACCAGCGTGACTGTCAGCGTTTGAGTGTCTCGGTTTTGGCGCGCACGTTTCAAACTAGGCCACTCGTTCAAATTCTCCCTCTCAAAATGGCCTTGGGAGTGGCCTCGGCCTCAGCCAAGGCACTCACGTGCGCAATCACACACACGCACAAGCACACACACACGTTTACATTCCACATTCATGTCCTGACCAGAGTTCAGCAGGAAGTCACGTGTAGCCAACATGTGAGCCAGAGGGATGGTTGTTAGTGCGTGGAACAACGAGGCCTCTTGCAACTGGCGCTTGTCACGCTCAGAATGAAGCAAATTCCTGGCGCCACTTTTAAACGCACACGATGCTTTGGAAACATTAATTCAATTCACTTAACATATCGTCTGTTCGTGAAATTGTCTTACTTGTCTAAAATCCACCAGAGTGTGCGTACGTGTGTGTGTGGCAGTTTGTAGCTCCACGTTGCTGTTGCTTCAAAATATCCCCGACGCCCAAGTGGATGACAAATGTTCTTTTAATTGTATGACTGCAAAGCAGTCTTCAGTCTCGTATCACTTTGCATTCCTCGTAGCTTTGACTACTAAAAAGATACTGTTTCTATTCTTATAGGAAAACAAACACACCACGTGTAATCGTATAGTGTTTTAACTAGGGCAATCCCAGTAATCAATTTTGTCCAACTATTTACAGTAAAAGAGAAAAAACAGATATTTAGTTCTGTTTACGAAGTGTCATTGAACACACCAGACGCAGCAGAAACGTGACTGCGTCATACCGACGTGTGGCGGCCGCAGTGAACTGCGGGTTCACACAACAGTGTAAGAAAAACAAATTGAAATATTAACATAGAAGTCTTAATTGATCCGGACTATCGACGAGATGAGACTCGACGCTCTGAATTCCTCGTAGCCGCGACGGCGGGAAGCGGGTGCCATTCTTTGTGATGTTGCGTCACTTCCGTCATCATTTAATGACGTTTATGTATCACTCCGTTACATATATATATATACAAATTATTTTCAATCTAGTGGTATTGAATTGAACTGAATTGAATACAACTTTATTGTCAAATGTGCTACAGCACAGATGTATCATCATTTTTATCCAGGGTCGTTCCATTAGTTGGTTTTTAAAAATAATTCTCGTCTGTGTGTCTGTGTGCATGCGTGTGCGCGCGTAAAAATGACATGTTGGCCACGTCACACAGCTTTTTAAATGACATTCACTCTTTCACGAGCGATGTCACATAGTGGGCTGAAAGGTCCTCGAAAGTCATTCGCAATGTGACACTAGAAAAAGTGCTTAAGGACACACAAAACAAACGCACCGAAATTGGGACTCTCAAGAACCACCAAACCATCGATAGTCCCAGAAAGTAGAAACAGACGTCAATTCTTGAATTTTAGATTTGATTCCTTGGCGAGTGGAACCAGGTATTTTTTTTTCTTGATGTGGATGAAAAAAACCCTGTTGTGTGCTTCACTCTATTTGGTCCTGTGCTCAGTTTTACGAAGTTTTCACGTCGTTTGACAACTGCATGCGGCGTCTGCTGGTGCTGATCTGCAAATCAAGCGGCCGTGTGAAAACGTCAAACTGAGGGACAGCGACAGACGAGATTGCGCATAATCGACGACTGTTCGTTGGATCAAGAGGTCAACCGCACGGCGCAGGGAATGTTGACAAATCGCAGGCTGTGTTTTCTCTTTGCCGACGGCCGCGCTGTTCCTGCAACAAGAGGCCTCTCAGTCTACTAGGACGGCAGCTGCGCGCACACACGCGCGCGCGCGCACACACACACACACACACACACACACACACACACACACACACACACACACACACACACACACACACTGCACGGATGACCAAGTTATCAAAATGGGCATTATTGCCATCTGGCATCATGGGAAAATTAATCCAGTTTAAACCATGACAAGATGCTTGAACTCTTAATTCAATTTTCCTTAGTTTTATTTATTCTATTATACCTGTTTTTTATATTTCATTATTATTGTTATTATTATGATGATGCTTATTATTGAAGTTGGATGAAATGATTAAACCATGGAGATCCTGCAAGTGTTTCTTTCGTTAATTTGTAATTAGCTTTTATATATTTTGTTTTAATACTTTTTCATTTGATTTTTGACATCTTAACTGTTATTCATTTTATCATTTTAAATGTAAAAAAATTGTAAAAAAATATCCTAATTATTTATTGTTGTTATTAAAGAATGGAGAAGATATCTATGATCATTTTATTTCTGTATTTTTTTGCAGTACAAGAAATTATATTGCCCATTCGAAAGCGCGGTCGTGATCCGTGCGCGCCATCTGGCGGCTGTAAGGACATAAAGCATCAGAATACGACCGTTGGTCATGTGATCTAACGCGGTAGCGATTCGCCAAGTTAGCTTGACAGACAACAAGAGCAGTTTGCCTTCCTCCTTCGTGTTGCTTGAAATGTCGTTTTCGTCATGGTGATCGTCTTCGTCATCCACACAGTGTGCCCGATCGGGGCGCTCGCTCCCGGGGAGAGCAGGGTACTCTACTCCCGCATCTTCGGACCGGACGAGGCGCTCTTCCAGGGCGGGCAGCGGCAGCTCAACGCTGAGGAGAGGCGACTGTTGTCGGCCGAGAAACTCGCCGTGGTGGCCCGGTAAGGTGGTTCCTCTTGAGTTGGTCAAGCAGAATTACAAACGTGACGTCATCCGTTGGTTCTTGTCCACTGCTCCGTCAGGTCCAAATTTTCGGAACGGCTGACAGAATTTTCCAGCGAAAGTATTGCAGTTGTAATATTTTTAGTCACGTTATTAATGTTATTTTCACACATTTGTTAAATGCTTTTTATTTGTAACATTTTTGTCAAGGTATTCCTAGATAATCCATAATTTTTTTTAGAATCATTTACTATTTTAGTTACAAATTTCCCATTCAACTATATTATTTTAATCAGTATATTAGTAATGTAATACCAATTTGAATGTAACATCTTTTAATGAATTTAATGCATTTTGTTATTTTTAATCAATGCATTGTTTATTATGTGTGTTATCAATTTTTTTTATTGGAAACAAATAATATTGCATTAATTCATTAAGGGATTCCCCCCACATTTTCTGTATTATTATTATTATTATTATTATTATTATTAGTGATGGGCAAGTACTGATACTTGGCATTATTTTAAGGTGTTGGTAATCATGGCGTCGCAGATTCCAGCCACCGATACTCAAGGCAAAAAAAAAATAATAATCTGACATCGAGTAAGTCCTTCTTGGCCGTAGTTGGCGCTACATTGCGGTGGTTTGGCACATTCATCATCTGCATCAGAAAGAAAGGTCTTTGTTCACAAATTTGCATTGTTGCTTTAAATGAAATGTCATGTCAACAGTACGAGAACTATCAGTACTTGCTATTGCTCAAAGAGTGAATGTTCACAAAAATCAACAAAAAAGGGGTTATTTGTATTATTACGATCCTGATGATATTCCATAATGTACTAACGGGCCATTAATGATCTGATGAAGACTGAAGATGATTGTGTCACTTGGTCCGGTTCGGACCAGGCAGGTCCAGAGCGCCGTCTCGCTGCGCCGGGAGGCCTCAGGGCGCCCGCTAGTGGAGGCTCTGCCCGGCGAGGAGCACCTGGCCCTGCAGGAGGCCGACAGCGGCGTGCTGAGGCTGCGCTGCGGCGACCCCTACTGGCAGGAGGTCAGCGCGCTCTGGTTGGCCGTCAACTCTTTGTCCTTTGTGATGCTGTGTGAGCCCCACGAGAACCTGCTGCTGGCCGAGGGAACGCTCCGGAACCTCGCCAGGCACTGCCTGGAGCACCTGCACATGCTGGGACAGGGCAGCGAGGTGAGGGGAAACCCTAAGGGCCGATGTTATGGATGATTATTAGCATCGAATTTGCTGCCCCAAAAAAACTGTTCTCTCTGCTTATTGGTCAGAAACGAGTGCTTTTGGTGACACCAACTCATATTCTACTGCTGATAACTAAAGCTAAACGATTCATGGATTAGCAGAAATAATTCATGATTAATTTGCGATTAGCTGTCAATTAATTGCTGCAGCTCTAAATATATACATTTCTAGACACATCTGAGGACTGTTTTTTTTTTTTTTAATTTCTGTTGTGCATGTTATTTATTTTTGTGTCCTTTTTTTGCAGGTGCTGTTGAAGAGCAGCCGGGTGGATGTCCTACTGAGTCGGCTTCTTCCTCACGGCCAGCTCGTCTTCCTCAACCATCGCTTCGCGCAAAGTCTGGAGAAAGACGTGGCCGCCTACATGAACAAGTGACCTCCAATGGACAGATGTTGGACGTCTTTGTTTCTGAAACGGAATTGTCTTTATTCTCCACGGTGTTATGAAGAGAAATTCTGTGACTATTCTGACTGTAAATTTATTTGTGTCAGCTACCCTTCAAATCCTGCCCCCCCCCTTTTTTTTAATAGCTTTGCACACTATATACATAAACGGCTGGCCGGAAATGGCCCGCAGGCTATTGTTTTGACATCACTGCTTGAGAGTTATGTTGTTATCTTTGTAAATGAATCCCGATTTAATTTCTTGGAAAAAAAGTCTTTTCAATAAAGTTTGAGGCGGGGAAGAAAACCAGACACGCCTTCGTCGCAGCCATGTTGGTGGTGGCGACAGCCCCGCCAAAGGTAATGGAAAGCATTATTTTAGCATCGTCATAGCTCAAAAGAAATGTGTTGCATCGACCTGTTGATATCTGGGCCGTTTGCGATCTGGAGCGTCTTCTCGTCGTGTAAAACGCGAACACGTCTCTGAAACATGCTATTTTTGGCACAGGATGCAAGTTTTAATCTACGGATTACAATCGCAACGGAGTTGGGGAGGAAAAAAAGAGAAGCGTCGTAGCTCGCGAGAGAGACCAGCTGAACGACATTATCACCAGCGAGGTAAGTTTGGATAAACTTTTCAAACAGATTCACGTGGTTTTATATTTACTTACAATAACTGTATTGGGCGTGGATACGCCATGGAAAAAAAAGAGAACCAAACAATAATTTTAGACTGTAATGGATGTTTTCTAGGCCTGAAAAAAAGTTTTTAAATGTAACGGACAGGCGGCAACAGTGATTGTTCCAAATGTCCATTAAAACAGGGACTGGAAAGTGTATCTGAACCAACAGTTAAGACCTCCACAGGGACTGGAAAGTGTATCTGAACCAACAGTTAAGACCTTCGCCACTGGAGGGCACTGTGTTTCCATCCATTCAGTTTGAGCGCTGACAACTACAGTAAGACAAAAATAGACTTAAATAAAACAAAATCGCCCCTCCCCTCCTCGAAAAACCCTTGCAGACATGGAAAACAAACAGCAGCGCGGTTTGTTTTTCGGTTCGCGCTTTTTGTAATTACGTCCAATTAATGGCGCGCGGCGCAGGAAGTTGTTGTTTGCTCGCCAACAGCTGTTTGGATGAAACGGATGAGCTGGTGTCAAGTGGAGATTAAAATCACATCCGCTCGTCAAACCGGACCAGAAATGGGAATCGGCTTGGGGGGGCAGGAATTGGTTTCGTGAAATTTTGGGCTTTTAGATGCTGCTTTCCCCACAGGAGGTAATGGAAATAGAAATCATCTTCCAAACTGTGACCATTAAACCTTCATTCGTAGTCCGCGGTGAAATGTTATCTAAGAAATGCTCATGAGCCAAAAAGTGAAACTATTGTGTGCTAAATGCTAATGCTAAGACATGCTTATTGTAACAGAACAAGCGTGAATCGTACAACAGCAACATCATGTAAAACACTGCTGCATATTCTTTGGGGGAAAAGTGGTGGACAGAATTACAAATGACTTAGTCCACTGAAGTGGAAAACTAAGATTATGGCCAGAAGCTAAGGTGTTGCATGCTAGTGCTAACAGAACTGCTCTCTGTGTTATGTGTTTTTTTTTTTTTGGTACAGTCAATATGTAGTACTGATAATGAATGCCAAGTTTTGATGCTAACATAACTGTCTTTGAAGTCATCCATGTAAAATCATTTCTTCATGCGCTACACACACTCTAAAACAGTAAAACTAGCACTAACGCAAACGCGACGCAATATATGAGGTGCCCAGGCAGCTCTGCTAATCACAGTTTGCCAAAATACAGTGAATACTGTAAAATACACAAAGTGAGTTTTGTTTGCAAAGCTAAAGAAGCGTCCTGAATTTTATTGGTAACGAAACAAAATTTCTGAAATAAACCAAACTGAACTGACCGTTTGTTCAAAGACTCCTCACGACTCAGAACAGTAATATGAGTGCTGATGCTAATGCTAAGTGCTCTGTTAATGTCAACGGACTTTTGCAGATACTCGAGAAACTGATCTCTTCTTCATGTTAATGGCTTATTTTCCCTTCTCCATCCTATCAGCCAGAAATTCTAACCCCACAAAAAAAAAAAAAAAATCTTAAATGGGGAGGCTGCTCATTGAATAACTCCAAGGTCTTTTTCCCAACATAATATTTCTTCTTCTCTCGCCTCATTAGACGGCTATTGTAAAATGCGCCGAGGCTCAGCGCTGCCGAGACGCCATATGAATTTCAATGCGACTCTTACAATTTCACATATTTCCCAAAAAGCTAAACGGGATTAAATAAAAGTGCACTGCGGCAGATTAGGCTGTCAGTTACAGTGGTTATTGGTACAATACATTTATCAGTAACAAACCGTATCAACCAGGAAGTAGCGCTGCTAACTAACTACACACACTTAAAAAAAATTACGTACTATGCTCGTGTTTTGAGTGTCATTCTACTTATTTTGTGTCTTTTTCTTTCAAGCCTCGGTGGTAACAACAAAATGTGATTCGTGACCAAAGATTAAAACAATTTAAAATGTTGGGTCCTAAATGCTAATGCTAACAGAACACTTGAGTCTGTCATGGCTTGACATGTTGATTGACGTAACGATTCCACCGCTAACCTCACACATGAACCATGTTTTTGTGGATCCGAAATGTGTGTCTTCTAATGCGCACGCTCAAAAAAAAAACCCCCAAACAAAAACGTCTTGTTGGTTCTTTGCCACTAAGCTACAAATCATACTTGAAATTTCG